CACGAGAACAGACCTAAATTGAAGATGAGGGCCTCTGCAACGACCGCAATAGAAGGTGCCGTTTTGAAAGCATCTTCAAGGATAGCAATGCCCTGTGTATAAGGTTAGAAAGGTGATATATAGAATTCAAATGTGCCGTCCACAACCTCACCGAGCCTCCCCATGTTTAGATATGCCACGGCAAGATTATTAGCATCCTATCATCTCATTAGAATGCATACTATACCCGTAATACCACTCACTGTGATCCTTTGGATTGGATTCTCTTCACCCTCAGGACTTTCCTGACGAGCTTGTAACAATTCGATGGCATTGCCCCACTCTCCAAGGAATGCTTGCCTCAGGATGTCGACGCTCCTCTTAAGCTCTATATCCACCTTTTCATCTTTCTCCAATAGGTCGAAATGATGAGAAGCCGAGGTAAAATCGCCGATTTGCAGGTATATCATGGCAAGTGTCGACCTCAGCTCTGGAGGAGCAGAGGAAACAATGGACTCTAGTAGACGAGTCGCAGTAGTGAATTGCTGGACCAATTGTTATTCTTTGATATTGGAGGATAGCCCTACATTACCTTCATCTCGACTAGCTGTGATGCCAAAACTACCGAAACCCTCGCCGCTCTGTCCAACCACTTCCGGGTGCGTTCTTCATCCTGATGATTATACCTCTGGGCCTGAGCCTTACATCTTCTCAAGATTTGCATTAGCTCATCCACGTACTTCGTATGATCGTTGGCCCAATAACGCAGCCTTGCTCGACATAACTCGAGATCTAATGGAAGTAGTTCTCGTAAGAGATGTTCACGAGATTCAAGAGGATTGATCGCAGACATGGCATGAAACAGAGCCGTGCATTCGGCTGAAGCTTGATTATACAGCCGTAGACGAGCCAGGGAGTTTAAACGAAGAGACCATAACTTTGCAATCGAGTGTCAGGCTTGAATGACAGAGATATATTGTATCACCTACATCAAGAATCTTTCCGACCTCTGTGGGACTGGTCGAAAGCAGCATGTGCCGCGCAAGTTTAGCTGTAGCTCGCCAACTATTGGTCATCTGATGAACGGTTATTCTAAGCCTGTATCCGATCGAAATACCCACTATAAGGGTGTTGAGATCCGACTGTGTAAAGTCTCCCGAGAGGTCTCGCCTTGGTCGGTGGTCTGGATTGGGAACGTATTTTGCTAGCAACATTGTCAAGGGGTCTGACTACAGTAATCGCATCAGTACATTATGTAAGGGAGAACGTTCACTTACGTCAGGAATCGGAAGGAAAAGATTAGGGTATAGTAATGTCGGTACTCCTCCGATTAGATATCTGGGAGTGTCATCCTTTGGGGGAGGCGAAGGTGTTGCTCCGATAGGCCGAATCGGTGGAACATTGTGATATAGATTAGAAGGTGTATCACTTTGGCGCTCTACAAGAGGAGGTCTTTGTGCTGCCTCTACCTCTCTATTGACGGGAGGGACTGCAGCTGGTGTAATCTCTTCGTCTGATAACTCCTCATCATCCCCAACTTCAAATGGGTCTGGAAGTCTCTCTTCGTCTTTAGCCGTTTCCATGTCTATCTCACGCGGGAATTTCTGACGAAATAGTATTGTCCAAGGTAGTACGTAACAAAGACTAAATTTTGTACATAAATATATTTCCATTTACAACCCAGTAAAAGTAGAAAAAGGGAACTCTCAGGTATATATTATCATAAACCTAACCCGTTCATAAACATTTGCCACGACATATCATTGTCTGACATAATGTCGTATACGGGGTTTTGATCCCGCGGATCATAGCTGAAATTATCAGGACCAGAGGAACTTTCCATAACTTGGTTATAGTAAAAGTTGTCACCATGGAACGAAGGCTGGAGGGAAGCTGGATGGGCATTTTCAGTAGTTGCCCATGGATCTACGACAAGGTCGGTAACGGACTGGATACCTGTAGGGAGAAGTTGTTGAGAACTTTGCGGGAGGTTGGATACGACTGTTGGAGCCGACATTGCCTGGCTAGGCATACCCTGGTCTTGGAACCGATGGAGTCGTAAAAAGTCGTCAAAGGATTGAGCACGAGAACATGGTCGGCCAGTGTCAGGATTAGACGCAAACGAAGCCATTGTGTTCAAACTTTGTTGAGCAATTAGATCTTGAGGAGATATGGGCATATTGAAATCTTGCGATTCAGCTGAACTAATAGTCCAACGTTCAGAGGGTGTTCGTAGGTGGGCCTCCTTTATACCCCTCGAAGACGGTTCTGGTCCCTTTCCCATCGAAGCGGGTGATTGTGGGGACTCTTTGTCCTTTGGAGGAGACGGACTCTGGGTGGGTTTATTTGCCAGAGGTAACATGGCTGTTCCCAGACCTGGCATTTCGGGAGGTGGCGGACCTTTCGTGACTTCTGGATTCCATTGACCAGCACGATACAATTGGTGGCTTTGGTGTGCTTTGACTTGTAATTTTTGTAGCGCAGGCTACCAAGGATCAGAAAGTCATATGCGAAAGGAAAAAAAGAAAATTACCAAGATCCGCCGAGCATTGGGACCCACTGTGCCCCTATTGAGAGTTTCAATAGCCCCATCGAATTCTCGCAGAGCTTGATCTGCCAGGTTGCATCCAGGGGCCATAGTCACCAAGCCACCGAGGGTTACCTATACATTTATTAGACCATATCATAAATATTCGTCATATACTCACAGCAGATGAATATGCATGACCCCACCAGCCTTTAATCGTGATCAGCACTAGCGATCTTGGGAGATGATAGAGAACGAACCGAATACTCGACTCAAGATATGGGGATAGGAGTATACCAGCTCTTTGAACCACTTGAGAATTTGGCCTGCACTTGTGTAACTGTAAATTATGGTTAGGAACCACTCGAGTCTTATTCCTTGGTGGTACTTACACGGCCAATACGCTGTGCGCAAACTTGTGTCGTAGAGGGTCATGTGGAGGATCAAATACCTTTACAAAGGTGAGTATTGACTCTTCAGTAAGACAATAATATCTAACCGCTCTAGCAAAGAATCCTACACGAATGTCAGCATCTCCAGAATTAATAGAAGAAAACACATACCTCGATGCAGATACATAAGAGCCGACTCCTTGGACAGCTGTTGTAAATACCATTTAGCTTCGGCCTTAATGTAGCGAATATGTTCCCACCATCGATGTAAAGTGTTGAAGCAAGAGCATATCATCCGCTTGACTTCGGGCACCGGCGTCCTTGAGTTGTATTTTGGCGGGAATCGTACAACTTCGGATCTTTGTATCCAGTTTCAATACGATAGAGTGCGGCGGAATGGTATTGGAGTTGGTGATCAAAACTTGATCCAGGATGTTCATGATGCCCTCCGAAGTATAGTGATGTTTCCATCTGACAAGCCATTGTCAAGAGGGAGATACCCTTGCCGTAGGGTTACTTACCTATGGAAATGAGGTGGGTGGCCGAGGCTCTCTTCGGTATCGAAGGGTTGTGGAGTGTCGAAATGGGGCCGCATCATGGAAGGCGGTCTCCCATATCCAAGGGCTTGCCAGACATCGAGGGCCTGAAGTTCCCAGAACACTCTCCGTCTGTCCATAATGTCCTCTTCAGACATGCCCCAGGTTCTTCCATCACGGTGGAGCCCTATACTCTGTGCTACTTTAAATGTCAGACCGAGGCAGCCCCAGCTCTTGGCGGGATCACCTAGAGAAAGAGTAAGATGGTTTGATACAGGAACCGAGAGCATAAACTTACGTTGGTCATCCAAAAGTTGATACCACATTGATAACAAACACAAGGCTTGTACCGTCGCAAGCGTTGCGGTGGTTCCGAAAACGCTTTCCGCTCCCAATGCAGCTCGTGCCAGCTGGCTATACACATATGTCGAATGCCATTGTGGCTTGGGGTGTGGGTCTGCCCAGGCCGTGAGTGCGAACACCATAAACACGATCGCTAACCGGTGGGCAGGGAGGGCCGGTGCACTCGGATCGTACAAAATTCGGACCATCTCGTCCAACCCCTTCTTAGGAACAAAGTTGTATAGCCAGCCGACGTCCTGGAAAAATCGTTCCACCAAGAACATGGCCTCTGATTCCTCCTGTGGGAGATAGTTGTATAGTTTGTCTTTGATGGCATCAAGGCCTTGGACGGTGCCAAAGGGGAAATTATTGCATAAATCAAGGATACTTTCTTCGACCTCCTGCTCAACAGAAGGCTGAAAGTCTGCTGCTTCTTCGTCACTATCCTGCTCAATGGTGAGCGAGGGAAACCCAGGGACTGAACCGGTTATTCGACTCACCTCGAGGAACCAAGCGGCGACCGCGGTTGATCTACATTTCTATTATTAGATATCAGATTAGCGTTAATAATCTGCTTACCCGAGCCACTTCATTCTCGTGCCATCATCCTAGGAAGGAGATGCTTATTAGTATCAAATATTACCGAAGCAGAACGGATATTACGGTTATCATAAGGGTTCCAAATGTGGAAATGGGCCCGTTTTCGGCCTCAGCATTGTGGTCTTCTTGTGTGGGAGGAGCCGCGATAGACAATAGGGAATCATTTAGGAGAGGATGGGGCTCGAGGGAATGGGAAGCTCTCTCGTCTTCTAGACCCTTTTCGAGCTCACGGACCCTCAATATCAATTCTGATAACGAGATTGAGATTTGATTTTTCCGTCTCGAAGGATTTGAAGCAGGCCTTACCCTCTACTCTGCGGTGCAACGCCTCTGTGTCGCTTAAAATGTATCTACGAACGTCAGACCACGATCTCCAACGATCTGTAACGAACACACATACCTGCTTCCTTTACTGACGAGACTGCCGTCTGGGCACAGCGAGGCACAGCTAACAGGGGAGTATACGAGTTAGGCTTACTATATGACGTTCGGTCGCCAATGGCCGGGGACTTACCCTCGTCGCTGACATGGACCGCACGGGACTATCCTGTATAGAATAAGTTTGCGTTATGCAAAAGATTTGAATCTTTGACCATACCGGTCACCTATAAAGTATCGTCAGAGGATAGGAGTGGCTGGTGGCCTGGAAATGGCACTCACACTTGATCTTTAGTCGCCTATCAGCAGGGCGAGCGGACCCTAACGTCAGACTGAGAGTAGTACAGCTCGGAGAAGAAGACTCGCCTGCACTCTGCACATGAAATCGGGCCTCGACGCTTGGAGACTTGTCTCGACGCAGAGGACATAATAGATAGGCGAGAGGAGAAGTGTCTGGAAGGTTGCCAACTGGTGCTCGTCTTATAAATAACATTGCATTTGTGCTCAAAACCCAAGTTTCATATCTGAAAAGTGAACAGCAAGCGCTCACACGGGTCGCATAAGGCTTCACAAAAGTGCCTTTTGATTCGACAATAATATTGTTATTGTATTGGGGGTTTTTACAGCGGAGGTTTCCCTTGCCATACACAGCTCAGGCCCTGAGAATTGAACCTCGTCCACATATGCAATATTTGGTGCCGAGGCTCTCCTTTTGGATCAGGGAACTATCTCGTTAAAACGGCAGTCGACCGACAATAGCCTCGTGCTTGTACGACTTCTTTCCGGAGCCCGTCCCGAATTCGCCAACAATGTGGCCTCCCTCCCCGCCGCTCTTGAGCATATACTTGTAGATGGTGAGCCCCTCGAGACCAACCGGTCCCCGCGCGTGAGTGCGGCCGGTGCTTATCCCCACCTCGGTCCCAAATCCATAGCGCAGCCCATCAGCAAAGCGCGTACTCGCATTCACAAACGTTCCCGCGCTATCCACAGACCGACAAAAGCTACTCGCATTTGGCGTAGATTCTGTCACAATACTGTCAGTATGGTGCGATGAGTGAGCGTTGATAAATGCCACAGCCTCCTCAAACGTGTCCACCGCTTTCACCGCCATGATGAGGGAAAGAAACTCGGTGGCAAAATCGCTAGGAGATGCAGATTTGACGAGTCCCGAGTGGGATACGGAGGATGGTATGGCTGCCAGGGTCCGCTCGTCGCATCGTAGTTCGACCTTGGCGCTCACCAGGGCTTCGGCTACCTTGGGCCAAACTGTGTCCAGCACGCTGGAATGAATGACCAGTATCTCGGCGGAGTTGCACGCTGCGGGGTAATTTATCTTGGAGTCGACAACGACGCGTGTTGCTTTGGTGGGATCGGCAGACTCGTCCAGAAAGACGGTGCATAACCCGTCGGCGTGACCCATCACCGGTATTCTTGTCGAATGTTGGATATGAGACACTAGCGCATTGCTGCCACGAGGAATAACCAAATCGATGTATTTGTCCTGCTCCAGAAGTTGAGAAATCTCTTCTCGTGTCTGCACGACCTGAATGTAGTCATCTGGCAGCCGGGATTGTGAAAGTGCCGTCCGCACACAATTCGCTAATGCAGTGGTGGAATGCAAGGATTCTTTTCCACCCTTGAGGATGGCCGCATTGCCTGGACCCAACTCTCGCGTTAGCCTCAATTTACCCCACTATCGATTTTAACCATGCGAACAAACCTGACTTGATGGCCAGGGAGGCAATGTTGATCACAACCTCTGGGCGTGCCTCAAATATGATGAGGAGCACTCCAATCGGGCAAGTCACTCGGTAAAGTTCTAGACCATCGTCCAATGCTATAGAGTATGTAACCCTGCCCAAGGGGTCCGGAAGTTTGGAGACGTCCACTACCCCCTGAAGCATTGAGTCCCATTTATCTCCAGACGAGAGATCGAGTCGTTTGACTAGTGAGGCCGATAATGAACCTGCAGCCACTTGTGCTTGAGCAGCCTAATTGTGCCTTAATTATCAATTTGATCACAATTCGATTTTTCATTCTTACCTCCATATCTTTCTTATTCGCCTCCAGGATGAGCTCCTTTTGGCGAGAGAGCTCTGCTTTCACAGCCAGGAGGACATCTGACCTTTCCTGGGATGAGACCAATTGAGAGGCCTCGAATGCTGATTTTGCAGCTTTTGCGATCTCTTCAGCACCTTTCGACATGGTAGAGAGCAAGAGTGGATATTAAATGAGTCGTGACTCTGAACCATCGCCATATCGGCTTAATTCGCTTCTCGCTTTTTCCCGTTCGGTTCTGCGCAGCGACGTAAAATGTTCAAGTTCGATTCATATACTCCAGTGAAAGAAAAGGCTGTTTCCGTTCCCCAGAGATATCCAGAAATGGACGAAATGGACTGGGATGAGGGGTATGGCGGTGGTAAAACCGGAGCAGCTACGCCCGGAGAAACAATAGCCTCCTCGAATGACTTCATGCGGTGCGATACAACCAATCGAATGGCCCCTTTCGATTAATTAATCCTTTACAGGGGCCATGGAACTTTTGCTGATGGAGATGAAGTTGCTGCTACTGTGGCGGGGACCATTCAGCGCGTGAATAAACTTATCTCTGTCAAACCTATCCGCTCGAGGTAATGTTGATGCTCTATTGGCTGGTATAACCTTCTAAGTGCCTTCCAGATACGCGCCCGAGGTGGGGGATCTCGTAATCGCAAGGATTGTTGAAGTGGGCATCCTCTTGGCGCTTATCCTTACGCTCACATGGTTACAGGTACAGCCGCGTCGCTGGAAAGTGGACGCAAATGGCCGACAGGCTGCGATATTGATGCTCTCGTCTGTCAACCTTCCGGGTGGCATCCAGGTATGCAAGATGAGACCTCATATTGTCATTGTTCTCAACATTTGGCTAGTAGAGACGAAAACTGGAAAGTGATGAACTTCAAATGCGAACCTTTTTCGAGGAAGGAGACTTGCTCGTTGCAGAGGTCCAGGCGTTCTTTTCTGACGGTGCCATGTCGTTACACACCCGATCCTTGCGATACGGAAAGGTAGAGGACGCATACAATCGAAAGATGGTGGCTGACAGCTTCTCAGCTGCGTAATGGTCAATTCGTAACTGTGCCGGCCATTCTCATCAAACGTCTCAAGTCCCACTTTTGTGCCTTGACATGTGGTGTCGATGTTATCTTAGGAGTTAATGGGTATATTTGGGTCAGCAAACATATCAAGGAAAACCAACAAGTGGGAGAACAAGGCTTCGATGCCGAATCTGTGTATTCGAACAAGAACGAGGTACGTGTCCTTCATGAGCCTGGACTTCTTACTGATAAAATTTAGAACATCGATGCTTCGACGAGAATGGCCATCTCACGGGTCTCGAACATCATCAAGATCATGGCTCAATACTATGTACCGATAAGCGATGTAGCTCTGAACCATGCATATGCATGGGTAGTGGAAAACGACCTCAAACCCAAAGATATCCTCCAAGATGAAACTGCCGAGGCCCTGGTGGAAGCTCTAACCCAGGATTATTCGTAAATCAGTCCGACTCTTCGTCCTCTTCTGCTTCTTCATCTTCATCCTCTTCGTCTTCGTCCTCCTCTCCGTCCTCCTCGGGGTCCGCCTCAAACTCGTCGTTTTCTGGGGCTGTACTGAATCCTTCCTCATCTGCTGCCTCCTGGATACTTTCTTCACCATCCGTTTGTTGAGCACCGTTAGCCAATCGCCGTGCCTTGGCCGCACGGGCTGCTTCCTCCTTGGCCGGATTATGCGGAAGTAACAGATCCAAAGCCAAGTCCTTCCATAGTAGCCCGGTGTTTACACTTGCTATACCACCCTGTTCATCATATAATGCTCTTGAATTGGGGTCCACTACTCGATTGGGCTGTGTGGCTGGATGAGTTAATCTCGTTGGATCCCCGTAAGGATAGGATATATGAACACTCGATGGAAGACCTAGTGATCGTGTTCGTCAGAAAGTCCGATCCATTGTACTGGTTTATGCATACAGTCATTATCATCGGGGTCCGGTGGTATCATGTAAGGAGGTATCTGGAGTTCTAATAGGTGTAAGTTATCTCCTTGTCATTAGGCTTTCCGGGAAGCGTACCCTCGTCCGATATAGCATAGTCCCAGTAATCTGCATCGTCAAGATGCTCTAACGAGTCGATTTCGGCCTCGGTCATGTGAAGATAACAATACGTGAGATCCTGTAATAGGTGTCAGTTCAAGGTTTTTGAGGTTTTGTAACTTACAGTCATCGTGGCTTGTAAAGCTCCAGTTATTATCCAGTTTGAATAGGTCAGCTTCCAAGGTGGTAATTTCTATTTGTTGGCCCTCGGACACGACTTCTGAATCCAGCTAGCCTCAAAAATAAAGCCATGGCCAGTGCAGTGGTCTATGGCACCCTTAGTGTCCCTGTGAAACCCCCCATTGCTTCTTCTCGCTCTCTCCAATGGACGCCCGATGGCCAACTTTTGGTGCTCGGTGAAACTGTAATTTACATATTGGTAAGAGGGTTAACAGGGTACGCTATGAATAACTGATACAAGCACTCTAGACACAAGAAATAGGATTAAAACCTGATGGAGATGGGCAGCTTGGAGGGAGCGATGTTAATGGGGTGCGATGGTCAACTACGGCGATACCACTTCAAGCAACGAGTCATTTCTGGCCAGAAATTTGTCAGGGTATGTAGATTAACTCGTGTATAAATCGTTCTAACTTCCATTAGACTGGAGAACTCTCTGCATCGGAGCGTCAGATTTCAAGTGGTCAGCCGTTACGTATTCACCAACTGGTTACAGTCATGTGGGCAGGTTTGTTATGTGAATCAAGGATGGACGTACAAGATCTTATGATTCTCAGCTGCCTAATAGTTACACTCTCGAGTAACCTCGAAGTTCACGTTTGGACTCCAAAAGAAAACCCTTATCGCGGAGAATGGATAAAGGTGAGTTTAATTCGCCGGGATTTCTCATCGACTCATATCTTGGAAGCTTCAAGATGTGACCCGAGATTTGTGCAAGGTAACTCTACAAGGGAAAACACCAGACGTAGCATCGGTACTTCGGGCTCAAATTCAAGGTAGGATACAAATAAAATATAAAAGAGGTACTTAATCTGTGGGGAGCCCTCTCTTGGTCTTCACAGACCTTCTTCAAGGAACACAGGAATACGTCCTTGCTTGCACTCGGTAGCCGAGGTGGCACAGTGTTATTCTTGCAGATGGAAGAGGGGACCCTTCATCAAGTGGCATCTATCAGTGTATCTGAAACATGGATAAGCCATTTATCTTGGTCAACATGGCAGGAAGAAAATGGCACAGGTATGCTTCTGTTCATGAAAGAGAGACCATGTACCGACGTTTGATGAGCCTTGGCACGATTGGCATGCGGCACTTCTAGCGGTGGCATCCATCTCATAGACATATACTACGACCCAACTTCCGTCGAGGCACAATTCCAAATACAACTCTCCCTGGAGGAGCCATCTCGCCTCGATCCTCGGGGAATAACAGCATTGGAATGGATATATCCACAAGGACAAGATGTAGGCTATATGTATATTTTGCCGAGAAACTGCTGACCTCTCAGGCAATTCTAGTTTTTTGTAAAGTTGGGACTGTCGAACTGTGGCGGAGTTCTAACTCGTCCAACTGGTCAGGATGTCACTCTATACAACTTGAGCTTCAAAATGTATCTACAGCATCAACCAGTGTTGGCCAGGCAGCTGGTATTTCCTCTCTTCCTACCTTTGAACCGATCTAAGCATAATACAGGTATCATCCACCTAGTTCGACGTGACATTGTCATCGTATCTCTCATAGATGGCTCCTATCATGCCATCTTCGATATCTCAAAACGGCCTGTTGCTAGTCAACCAGAGGGTACATCGATTAGTAGTCGAGAATTAACGCGTAATGCACGTTCGGTCTTTCTGGTAACCGAGGAAAAGGAGACACCGAAACCAAAGGATGGATCAGAGCCGCCCAAACTTTATCGGAACCATGTTGCTAAAACTACTGGTGCAGTCGCTGTTGGTACTACAGAAGTGATGTTGTGGATCCATCAGTAGGAACAATAACTCGCTAGCGAAGGTCAAAGAGACTGACTAATTGTTAGAAAGATCTTTGCCGAATCTTTTGACTTTCTCCCAGACGCTAAGATCAGGTGCTTGATCATACTTGCTCCTCTCTTTTCCCTCTCAAGTCAGGATGAACATGCGATCGAAGAAATGACCGCCTGTATAGAAAGGCCCACAAACTGTAAGCTCCTTCAAAGAAGCCATCTGGTCGCTGATTGCTTTCTCAGTTCTCTTGGAATCACCCTTTAGTGTTCTTCAAGGTCCATTTGTTTATCTCCAGCAGAAGGGCTTTCTCCTTCGCAATAAACATCATATAAATGATCTCATTGAGCCAAATGAAGACAATGTACCTCGTCATCTCATGCGAACAAATGTATCAAACAACGAGGCACCGGATGAATGGAGAGAAGCGGCACAAAATTATCTGACCAACGCTTTATTTGCCAATGAAGCGCTGAATAAGGATCGTTTGAAACTCAATATAGCCAACGTTTGCTGCGTATGTCCTCATCTCTAAAAGGGAGATAGTCTAACCCTGTCTTGACAGAGAGCCACGCCCAACAGTGCGGCGTTTCGTGTGATACAGAACAAGTTGCAGATTAGAATCCACATGGTATACATTTTTTCCTTCTTTGAGATGCTCAGAGGAGTCCCATCATCCGCAATCAAGAGTTGGTCCATTCCAATCAGTAGCCTACTCTCTTGTCCTCAATCAGCCCAACAGGTTCTACTCTGGTGAGAATGATGCTCACTCAGGCAAGATTATTCACCCTGCAGGAAGAAGTTCAAGTTCAGCGCATCAGGGAAGAGACGAGTTCGAACTCGGGGATTGAAGAACAATGCGCCGCTTGTGGAAAAAGGATAGAGTTTACAGAACTAGACACAGGGGTTTGCGAATCTGGTCACTACTGGAGTGAGAATTTGAGCGTCCGTGAATCAGTTTTTGATAAGGCTCACAATACACCACAGGTCGATGTGCCG